ACAGCCGAGATACTCCAAGCATGGCCGATCTCACTCATGAAGAATAATGTTTAGCCGGGCACATGATTAGAATGTTTTTTGGGTTTTTTTTTTTGGGGGGGGGGGGGACCTGAGACAGGAGAAAGTACATGTGTGCCTTGTCGACGCGCTCGCTCGCCGCCCGCCCGTCACCTTCGCCCGACGCCCTGGCCGCCGAGGAATATGGCAGCCGCCATGACAGATGCTCCCCGCCACGGGACCGGCGCCTTGCAGTCAGAGGGCTGCGTGTGTTTGGCATCGCACCACCTGAGACGATTGACACAAGTGGACCGGAAACACATTCTTGCATCTGCACTTTTATGCAAATCGCCACCAGAATATGTCACATCATCATCATCACTTCCAAAATCGTTTGGATGACCTTCCAGCCAAAACTGGGCTCCAACTGAAATGGGATTCACGATATCAATAATATTCGGACAACCCGTTCATCGGCCAATTTATTCAAAGCCCACATCATGGAACTTCTTACAAGGCAGATGAATAGACTGCTTTGCGCGACTTTTCCTTTGGTATTTGTTTAATTTTACAATAGAGAGAAAAAAAAAATCAGGGAAAAAAAAATCCCCAACAACAGATTGATATTACCCAGATGTTCCTTTTTTCCCCCCCGTCCCACCCCTTCCTGCCTCCTTTCCATCTGGCAGACAATACTTGAAAATTCTTAATCCATGAGCAGCCACCAAACATCACAAATGAAACATGCTTTACTGTCTACGACGCACTCGCTTCCCACCTCGCGTTCATTAGCAGCCCCGGCGCCGTCGCGGCACCATATGACACCGTCATCATTTGGTAATTAAACCTTTGCTCGTTTGAATATGAAAAGCTGGCGAGGGGGCCGTCGTAAAAAAAAAAAATCCTTTTTTCCTCCCGCACCGCACGCAGAGAAAAATGAGAAATCGAGTGGAGGAGCAAAACAACAACAACAACAACTTGTGGGAAAGGCGTCACTCGTGCCAAACGAACGGCGCTGTGGATTGTCAAATTCCAAGCCGGCAGATGGCAGTCGAGCCAAGAAATCATGTCACCTTTTTCACACCATGTCGTGATTAAATCGCAAAATAATTTCCTTGTTTTTTTTTTTTGGGGGGGGGTGATTTCCTCCGTTTGCTGTATGAATTTTTGCGTGGCCATCCTATTTTCGGGGTTGACGGCCCATTCGTTGGTTTGGGATGGAAGATCGAGAAAAAGCGCCGCGCAATGCCGTCGGTCTTCCAACGGCGTGAAACGAGAGATGTTTTTTATGGCCTCGGCCTTTTCGAGCGCACAAGTAAGCAATGACAATAAAGCAGTAACAGACACCGAGAGGCGGCGATAACATCGCGGTGGCACGGAGGGGATTTTTTAAAGTTCAACCTGACGTGATAAGCGCGGAGCATCACATCAGCGTCTCCGTGCACTAAACACTCTTATGGGGCTGCTAGACAATCGAGTCGGCTCGCTCGCCTGCCCGCCCGAGGACAAGCAAGCACAAAGCAGAGCAGAGCGTCATTCCAAAGTAGCGGCTTCTTCTTTACGAGCACTAAACAATCCTCCGTCCCTCCGGATGGGGAGCGCGCGAGAGGCCAGCCCGGCCAAGAGACGCCGGGCATCAAGGTCACCGTTTTCATGATGTTGACGCCGCGGAAGGTGAAGGGATGTGTTTCGGGGAGCCATCGGGAGCTTTGTGAGGCCGTCAACCTGTGACGCCATCCTCACAATGAAGAAAAGCATCGATAGGAAAAACAATTCTTGAGATTCATAAGTGCCTTTTATGAAGAACTAATAACAGGAATGTGAAGACTAATGACTGCGCACGGTAATCGGGAAACAAATCTCAAGATGCAAGACCGCCGTTTCCAGAAATCGCTTCCATCCTTGATCACTTATTTCGCCTTCTGAGCAAATCATAATGACCGATCACCGGCGAACCAATTTGGGATCGAGGTGCCCGTGCGCACCGTTGTCGGTCACGCCTGCGCGAGTGGCACTCGGGCTCCCCTCTAGTGGCACGTGAAACTGGCACAGGACGTGCGCCGAGTACGGCTCAGTTGGGGTTCACTCGTCAATGCGTTTCCACGCAACCTTTTTAGAAGTGTTTCAACATTTAGCTCCAACTTTGATTTGAACTTCGAAAAATGTTTGCAATTTTCCCATATTGAAGCCCACACAGTGGCAATGTCCAAGCTGTGCGTGAGACAAAGGAAGGTTAAGAATAGCGGGGACGAGTGGGAACATCAAGTGGGTCGGAAGCCACCCCCTCTCCCGGGTCTTTATTATGCGCCCACATGGACACGAGCTGCGCTTCCCATATTGCCGCCGTGTGACTGGAAGCTGTCGGCTGTCTGCTCAGGACGCGGGCGGCGGGCCGGGACAGCCCCTCGGGCTCATCCGCGGCGGGACGCCATTCTGACCTGCCGTTGAGGGGCAGCCGCAGCCCTGCTGCCTCCTCGTATTTCCCTTCTTACCAGGGCAAAATGGAGACGTTCTGTGAGGGTGTGATATTGAAACAAAAAAAAAAAAAAAAAGGGGGGGTGGGGGGGGGGACAATAACAAAGAGGCGCACAAGGCGAAACTATCCACGTGGAAACGGAGGTTGACCTTCTGTTCCCGGCAGTACCATCACTCCTACTGCATGTAAAGAAGACTTGCGACTTTTTTTGACAGCAAAGCGGCCTAGTTTGAATCCAGCACTGCAGGGCACGTTTCATAATTAGCTGCAAATCTGCATAATGAATGACTGATTTCCAGTCTTCAGGTGCTCTTCGGTCCTTTCAGGGGAGTGCTGGGACTTGGTCCCGCCATTGCACGTTCATCTGACAGAGACATTCGCCGAGACTTGCGCGATGTGCGTTTTACGTCGGTGTCGCAAATGAGAGCGTTGCACCGGGGGGGGGCATCCCAAACTCCACAAGTGTGCTCAGGGTGCCAATCATAAGATCATAACATCAAATGAAACATTTTTCTTGTCTCGCCCAAAAAGCAAATTTTATGGGGACCCAAGAAGGGGTGGGGTGGGGGGTTTGCTACAAGAGAAGGGGGTCCTTTAGGATGGGGGGGAGTTTGAATAATTAAAAAAAAAAGGGGGGGGATGTTGCTTTAAGGGAAATGTGCAACCAGTCGTGAAATTACAGCCTATAGTGCAACATATTGTACCACACGCTCTGTCCAAAAACACTAACAATGAAATAATCATTTTAAAAAAAAAACATCCTCCAACCTCCCCAGGAGGCGGCAATTACAGGCTCCCACCCCGGCCAATATGAAAATATGAAGGTTAAAGTATCCGACAACGTCAGTGTTATTTCCACATCGGGCGGGGAGATTTTTGTTTTTTTTCGGGCGTTGCATTCCTCCCCCATTTGCATGTGCAAGCCGCGCCGCGCCTCACCCGACGCCCAAGTGCAGCCCGATCAGTGCCTCAGCTCCGGGCAATTGCAACTGGAGATGGCCTCCAAAGAAAGAGTGCGGCTCTTTTCAAACTCTCGGGAGCAAATCAAGCAGCGCCAAGTCGGGACCCGGGGAGCGACGGTGGCGCGCTTTAAACTCGACGGCGCCATCTGCAGGCCAAGGATGGCGCTGCGGCGCGGGGACGAGAGCCTCGCTCCTCGCTCAAGAGCCGGCCGGGTGGTCTTTCGAGACCATTGTAAGATTTCGGGAATGCACCGATGCACCGATACGCTATTTTTTCACGCTCCGTTTTCGTTTCGATGGAGGGTTTATTCTGGCGAGGTTTGGAAAGTGTTTTTTTTTTTTCAAATATAAAATACCGGATATGTGGAATATTCAAGTGCTTTTGCAACGCTCGTCATTGGGAGGATTTATTGATGTCGTGTTAAAAGAATTTCTCTCACGTGACATGGAATTCAAATACGAGCTGAAATCAGACACTTGAATTTTGGGAATATTGACGTCATTTTTTGGCGAGATTCATTTTGGAAAGTTTCCTTGCCCACTGGCAATAATTTGGGGGATAATGCTGTCATTTTTTTTTTTTTTTGCGGAAATCTTGATGATAAAAAGACTTTCTTTTAATTACAGGTGATTTTTGTGCGTTTGTGTTTGGGGGGGGTATTTTTTTATGTTTACATGACAAGCATATTTTATTTTAGGCTCTATACCATGAGCGTAAAACACGAAAAAAGGAGCATTGGTGATAAATACACAAAGCTTTAACAAATCAATTTCCAGGAAAATGTCTGCCTGATGGCCAATATGATCTTTTGCCCCCGCGTGCCCCCGCCACCAAATTACACATTGAACCCATTTCGGCTCCATTTGGGACCCCCTGTTCGACGACAAATACAGAAAGAAAAGTGATTTAAAAATGCATCATTGATGGAACTCAAATTGCTTTATCATCAACGGCCTTCGATTTAGTTGAAGAAAATGTTGCGCCTAATCGGCAGAGAGCAATTTGACCGTGAATATTTTTTTCTTTCCAAACACATCATTTGCGCACATTCCCACGTTTCATTTCGATGTTCGGAACGCTGGCCGAGGTTCCTTATTTGGACATGCACTTCCTGGAAGAGTCAGACCTCCTCATCGGGACTTTTTTTTCCGGTCTGCGAGTGTGTGTGTGATAGGTTTTGTGTGTGTGTGTGTTGGGATGTACAGCCTTTGTCTGACAAGTCAAGCATGGGGGGAGTGTGGGGGGACGTGGAGGGGGTGTACAGAGAAGGTGGGAGGGGGGCACTAGTCGTGTGTGTGTGTCGGCTTGTCGCTTTTAGAGGCACGCACACACCGACACGGGCTTCATTCCCGGTGCAAACCCTCCACGGAAGCACACCACAACTGCACTGGAAGGGGGGTGGGGGCGGCCGTCGCGCACGGATCGTGGGGAGCTACAACCGAACCGAGCCTAGCCGAGCCGAGCTTTCCAACGCACGCCGGAGCGCCTTTTTCGCCCTCCCGCGATGAGCTTCCCGCTCGTTCTGCGGTGCTGAACCCCAAAGGGGGTCGGGGGGACTGGAGCGGACTGCACCCCGGCAGCGAGGCAACTTTCATCCCGAGGACTGGGGCGGGGGTGCAAAGTTGGCCCTCATCTGTGCTCCTGTGGCCGACGAAAGCATCGTGATTTCATTTGATTTTATTAAATATTTTTTTTGTTTGTATTCGGCGACATTGGTAAGCAGGCGACACGGCGGCTTGGGTTGATTTGTTTTCTTTCCTTTGCTATCCGATGGATATTCACTGCAAGGCGGACCCCTTCGCCGCCATGCACCGTAAGTAGCCCAACGCCGCTTCGGCCGATTCTTCGTACCATCGCGATGATGATGATGATGATTATTATTATTATTATCGCGCAGGGAAACGCATGCGGAAAAGTGCATTTTTTTTTAAGTTGCATGGAGCACGCCAGCTTTGAGCATGCACGGGCAAAGATTCGGCGCTGTGTTGGAGTCAAATGAAGCCTTTCATCGTCAACAATGACGATTTGGATGTGCAACATTTACGACTCTGCTCGCACGTGCAACTCGATCCGATTTGACTGGAGTGAATAACGGATGCTTTTGGGGTGCCCCCCCCCCCCGCGCCTTTCTGCAAAATAATCTGCGCTGTAGGTTGAGTTCTTCAAGATGCATCATTCCTGAACGTTAAAATGTGAAAGGGAATCGAAGCTGTTGCGTGTGGACGGGAAAGTTGTTTTTATTTTGGGGGAAAAATATGGAATGAAAAGAGAAGTCGCTTGACTTGGATTTCTTTTCGTGGTCGGAGGTCCGAAAATAGGAAGCCCCTTGTAATCAATTGCAATTATAGGAAGAGAGACTGGCCTTTTGCAGACGATTTTTGTCAACAATGGTTGTTTTTTTTTTTTTTTGTTTTGTTTTGTCCGAGGGGGGTACTTGGGGACACGTGGCCTTCTTCCAAATTGTGAATGAATTTAATGAGTCATTCATAATGAGCGCGAAGCTTTCATCAAAAACCGCTTGGCTTCTCGTGCTATTTTCGACTCACAAAGATCATGCAAATTTGGATGTAAAAAAAAATAAAATAAAAATGTGTATTTGGTGGTGGCAGGGTGGGGGTGAGGGGGGCAACTGGCTCCCATCTCTGACGGCTTTTATGTAATGTTAGGCCGCCGGTGTGTGCGCGCGTGTTGCTGCTGTTGTCTCCCACGTAGGGCACGGGGGTGTGAACCAGCTCGGCGGGGTGTTCGTCAACGGAAGACCCCTCCCGGACGTGGTGCGCCAGCGCATCGTGGAGCTGGCCCACCAGGGGGTTCGACCGTGCGACATCTCCCGGCAGCTGCGCGTCAGCCACGGCTGCGTCAGCAAGATCCTCGGCAGGTATGCCGAAAAATGCCCCCCCCCTCCCCCTCCTTGGAGAGGTGGTGCATTTCCACTGCTCGGGGGCAAAAATGCACTCGTTGACGCGATTTTCTTTTTTTTCTAATTGATTCGTTTTTTCCCCCCCAAAAGCCCGGTGCAATTAATTGCGTGGGCTCCTGAAAACGAATCCGTGTTGTCAAGTCCGAGAAAAAAATAAAACGCGGCTTTTGTGTGGCCGTCTGACTTCAACGTCAACAGTTGATGGAGCCTTGAAATGAGGATCGTTGGGCATTTGCGCGAATTTGCACGTTCGTCACTGAATTTATAAATGTCGGATTTTTTTTTTTTTTTTTTTGTGGAAATGTTTTGACGAATCTATTGCTGCTGCTGTTTTTTTTTTCTCGTCAATTCTGCTCAGAAAACAAACGCGCGAAATCAACACCCGCTATGAATCAAAACATTTCTTGCTGTGGTTCTATTTTATTTTATTATTTTTTTCTCAGTCTCCAATTGTTTCCGGCCGAGCTCCCGTCACATCATTTGCTCGTGAGAACGGCCATCAAGCCGAGTCCTTTTTGTGCGCCGCGCTCGCAGGTACTACGAGACGGGCAGCATCAAACCGGGCGTGATCGGAGGCTCCAAGCCCAAAGTGGCCACGCCGAAGGTGGTGGACAAGATCGCGGACTACAAGAGGCAGAACCCCACCATGTTCGCGTGGGAGATCCGCGACAGGCTGCTGGCGGAGGGCATCTGCGACAACGACACCGTGCCCAGCGTCTCGTCCATTAACCGGTAAGAGCCAGGCCGCGCGCTGGCGGCAGCAATTTGGCTCGCGGCCTACATTCTTCTCTTCATATATATATATATATATATATATATATATATATATATATGAAAAAACATATATATGAAAAAAAAAAATATAT